AAGGGATGAGACAGGGATAGCACAGGCTAGGATAGGACCTGCCCTGACTGCAGAAGGGAATAAAAGTGGTATTCCATGGGGACCAGGTGTGTCATTCATCCACAGCCAAGGCATACCCTTGCTCACATTCTAACCTCTGAGCTAAACAGCACAGGAGCTCCAGCTCAGGCCACCAGGGCTGGAAGGGATCCCCAGCCAGGGCAGGGCTGGGGTGGGTCAGGGCCAGGAGACCTCAGCAGCTCAGCTTGGTGCTGCTCGCCCAAGAGTGCTTTGTGTATTACCAAAGGTACAAAATCTGAACAGGAGCACAGGTCCTGCAGCTGTGGCTGTTGGCAGCTCCCCCAGGCAGGGCTGTGCCACAGGGAATGGCAGCAGGAGCCTGCTGGGAATGAGGAGCTGGAGTGGATCCCGCTGTAGTGTCAGTACATCAGCCAGTGCTGCATGTTCCCTTTTCTTCTGGGTTTACTGAATATCCCTTCCCATGTGCCCCACACTCCCAGCTCTGGGGGGGGCAGCCATTCCCTTTCCCTGCTGGTGTGGGGATTCACCAGGAGCCTGCAGGGCACTAGAGGTCAGGGAAGCGACTGGGATCCTCCTTGTAGTCCTCGGGGATTGTGAAGATGGAGTCAGCAAACTCGTCGTATCGGAACTCCTGGAAAGTCACAGTGGCTGTGATGGTGGGAAAGACAGGAATATCTGCAGGAGAAGCGAAAGGGAACAGTGAAGGGCAAGGAAAGGCCAATACGATATAAATCCCCATCCCCAGGAATGTTCCAGTTTGGACAGGGCTTAGAGCAACCTGGGCTCATGGAAGGTGTCCCAAAGATGAGCTCTGAGGTCCCTTCAACCCAACCCAGTCTGGAACTCCATGACCTGTGGAAGTCTGACAGGAGGCAGAACAGAGCCTGTTCACAGCTGTCAGTCTTACAGAGCTCACTGCAGTGCCATAAACCCTGTATCCCTCAGGAAAGCTGCTGTTGCCTTTGGGCACCTTGTGCCATGACCTATCCCAGGAATAAGTTGATTTATACATTCCAATTTGTCACAAGTGCAATGGTTTTATATTTTTCACTTACAAATAAGTATTTATCATCACTAATCCTTGAGGAAAAGGAAATCCAAGATTGCTACAAAACACTCCTGACTGCAATCATCCTCTAATGCAGGAATAATCCAGCACATCCCACTGCTCCTGGAGCAAGGCCCCAGCAGTTACATTCTCCTCATATCTACAGCAACACACTCCTGGGTGGGAATCCTGTCCCAAAACCCAACAGACCCTTTGAACATATTGCAGCAGTGCACATGTTTAGATTTGGATTGGATCTTAGGGAAAATTCCACCCTGGAAAGGGTTGTCCAGAGCTGGCACAGCTGCCCAGGGCAGTGGTGGCATCCCCATCCCTGGAGAGATTTAACAGCCATGTGGATGTGGCACTTGGGGACATGGTTAGTGGTGGCCTTGGCAGTGCTGGGGGAATGGCTGGACTCAGCCTAAGAAGGATTTTCCAACCCAAGTAGTTCTGTGGTTTTGGACACACACAGCCTCAGGGGCTGCTGTGCCACCTTACCTAGTTTGACAGGAAAGCCTGGTGGGAGCTTCATTTGAACAAATTCTCTAAGTTTGTTAAAGTGCTTGAAGGGTGCAATGACTTCTAAGACATTCAACAATCTGGAAAGGAAAGCAGAGGTCAGTACAAATTCTGTCCCACAAAATCAACCTCTGGCAAAGGACAAACATGACCCACAGGTCAAGGTGACAGAAGGGAGGTCAGCAATGACACAAGCTGCTCTGTGGATCTCCTCAGAGCTGCAGCATCACCCTCACATCCACTTCTCAGGGATATATCATTACCACAACAGCAGGATATTAACTCCTTATCCTTATTTTCCCCAGGAGAGTGTGAGGTATAGTCTCACCCGCCTTCCTCCATGGCCATGGGTTTGTGTCAGTTTAGGAGGACACAATTTTGTGCTAAATCTTCTTATGGGCCAAACCCTTCCAGGACTCTGAAGGATTAGGCACATCAGTCACCAGTTAGTGATAAGCCTTTGGTCTTATCTAGTCAGGTAAGGGCTTGGCTCCCCCAACATCAGCCACACCAGCACCCAGGCCCCAAAATGTAATGGTTTACTTGCTTAACAGCCTGACTTCACACCAGGTGTTGCACTGGCAGCTCCCAGATCTGAAGACTCTGCAATCCATGAGCACATTCCCTACAGGTGAGTAACACCCACAGGCAGTAACTTGGACTCACGATTCGATTCCTAAGGGGAATTCCTGGCTCATAGCTATCGTGGCTTTGAAGGTTTTCTTGCTCTCCTTGCAGACCAGCTCCCTGCCCAGGTGAGGAGCTCTGTGGGGAGAGGGGAGACGTGCTGTCAGTGTTTCCCAGGGACAGCCTAGGCTCAAAGCAAGGAAAACAGACTTGGGGTTGAGAACATCAGCAAAGAATCCCTACTTGAAGTGTTTGCTTTGTTGTCAAAGCTGTGCATAGGAAACATGAAACAACATCTTAATTTAGATCACTCTGAGTTCTGCTAAACCAGGAGACAAAATAAAGGAAACAATCTTCAAATAAATCCTCATAAACATGACGTTAACAACTCCCCAGAAACAGGTACAGCTGATTTCAGCTGTTAACTAGAATGGTCTATATGTGAGCAAAGCATAAGGTTGAATTAGGAAAAGGTTCGTCTGTTTTCAGCCTAAAACATGAAATAATCTCAGAGAAAACAGAGAAGTTCCTGTGCTGTCCCTGGAAGGCAACACTGGGAAGCTCAGGGCAGTAAATTCTGTTACAAGAGAGAGAAGAACAGGCAGGTAATAGAGATAAGTCTCTTCCTCATTGGATTTATTTTTGCTAAAACCCTGGATTTGCCATTAAATCCCTTCACTTAAACAGACCATTAAACAAGGCAAACCCTCATACACACACATTTCTGTCCTATTTATTCTGCCTGAATAGATAAACCTGTTTGTTCTGCCTGAATATTCATCCTCTCAAACACATTAACAATTAATTGGTTACAAGAGCCCAAACAGCTCCACGTGCCTTTTTAACAACCCTGTGCTGTGATATTGTCATCTTCCCTGGTGACACCTGACTGGATCATCTGATGTCTTTGGAGAAAGGACTTTTGTCACCTCTGTGACACACTGAATTCCATTTTTGGTGCTTCTGCATTCCACAGCTGAACAGAAAGTAGTCCTCGAAAATAAACTCAACCACTTGGGTCTCGTACAAATGAAGCTACTGGAAATTGATTTAAATTACAGCTGTTCCCTCCCTAGTTCACACCTAGGGAAGAGCATCTCGCAAAGATCCAGCCAGTGTGAGCAGATCCCTGTGTCCCTGGACTCCAGCAGTTGGCATTTCTGTCCACTGCCACTGGAGTCTCATTGCATCATATGCTTTTATTTTAAACATGGTGAATTGGATTGTTTATTACTGTCATCAGATAAATGAGTTGCAGCAACGATTTTGTCAGAAAATCTTCCTTAAAAAAGCCACTTTAATGTGGGTATTTTTAAAATGCTGCAATTCCAAGTGATAGCTGCCAGGGAGATGCTCATCCAGTATTTTATCACTGTTTTATCATCACAATTTTATCTTCTATCAGCCTGGGGAAGAGAAGCTCCAGGGAGACCTTTGAGCTCCTTCCAGTGCCTAAAGGGGCACCAAGAGAGCTAGAGAGACTTGGGACATGGCGGGACAGGACAGGACACAGGGAATGGCTTCCCACTGCCAGAGGGCAAGGCTGGATGGGATATTGGGAAGGAATTCCTCCCTGTGAGGCTGCTGAGGCACTGGCACAGGTTGCCCAGAGCAGCTGTGGCTGTTCCATCCCTGGGACTGTTCCAGGCCAGGTTGGATGGGGCTTGGAGCAACCTGGGCTGATGGAAGATGTCCCTGCCCATGGCACAGGGGTGGCACTGGATGAACTTGAAGGTCTCTTCCAACCCAAAGCAGTCTGGGGTTGTAGCTGATACACTACCTTCTTACTGAAGGATGTAGAACACCTCTAACACCAAACACAACATTCCTCTGACCCCAGGAAACTACAACCAAGACCCCCCAAACCCAACAACCCCAACCCCCAATCCCTACCCTACAATGCCAAGGTGTACCTGCAGTCAGTAAAGCAGAGCACTTACTTGCCATTCTCAGCAGATATGTACTCCTCCCAGGTGATGGTGTTGGGGGACGGCGGGGTGAGGGACTGCCGGCGCACAGGCTGTGCAGACAAACACCACTCAGCTCTCAGCCAGCCTCACATCCCCTTCATGCCCAGCCCACAGCTACAGCTGCCCCTCAGCACAGTCTGCACCATCCCCTGCTCTCAGTCCCTCCTGTGGTGATGGGCCCCACAGTGTGTTTCACCAAGAACTGAGCTGTTTCCCCACCTCAGTAATGAGTTAATTCAAGGCTGCGAGTGCCAAGTTCTGCAGCACAAGCTAACAGAGATAAATGAACCGTTTCAGGCTGTGTGTGCGCTCCCAGCTGATGCGTGGCTCCTTCTGAAGAGCCCTTGATTTCCTGTGCTAATAACAGCCTTGGCTCCATGTTAATGGAGCTAAAGAGAAACTCAATTGCCTTTTTGGTGTTCTTTTCATTCCAAACAATGAACATTTGGGCTAAAAGAAGTTCAAGTGATTTGCCACAGCCAAACCCACCATTTTCGCTAAGAGACGAATTAGGCTTGGAATGCCCAATCTGACCACAGAAATGCCTCACTGTGGGCACTAATCAGGGTAATTCATTAATGTATGATTATACTGTAGGTTTTCTTTATTATACTCAAATTATGCCAATCAAAATGAAATTAAAACATTCTCTATAGATTCTGCACAATCTTGGTGTGAAATGTTATCCCCCCATGTAGAAACTGACATGCTGTGAAGAGTTTATCAGTGATACCTCAAAGTTCTGCTCCATTAAGTTGCCTCCTTTGCTGAGGCTCTCCATGATGGCCTTGTTCCGCAGGATGTCCTCCTCACTCAGGTGTTCCCTTCTTTTCCGGGATTCCAATACAAGGCCATTCACCAGGTAGAAGTCTGCCAAGAAGTTTCCTACTCTTTCCTGCACAAAAGGAACTGGGATATTAATGACTCGCAGAAGATAAAATATGTCAACTCTTAGTGAATCTGAATAGTTGAACTAAGGGAACTTATGGATTGTAATTCCCCCAACCACCCTCAGGAGCTGCCATTGAGCAATCCCAGAATTCCATCAGCATTAGGGACTTCCTGTCAATGGAAACTTTGGGACAGAAGATTTAGAATAGAAGAGTGGCTAAGGGAAACA